AGACAGACAGACAGACAGACAGACAGACAGACAGACAGACAGACAGACAGACAGAGACAGATTGCGAGTGTGTCGATGTGTAAGTGTCGCTTATGGTAGGCGTGCCTAACCAAGTAAAGGCCAGCGATCGGGTTTCAAACCATCCTGTGGTGAGTAAACTAGGGTCTACGCCCTCCTTTGCACCTGAAGACTATCTCCAGCACACTGCGCGGACGAAACCTCTCCACTGGTTCCAGGAAAGCACTCCCAGCAGAACGTCTTGGAGCGCGACAAGGGCGCTGTGAGTGAGACAGGAAGACACAGCTGGCCATCCGCTGCACCCATGTCATGCTCATACTGTGCCGGAACAACATAGGGGAAAATGCTGCTTTTTCTTGCCTCATCCTTACTGTCGTCATTTTACCTCTACTTCTTTTGTATGTTTGTCACTCTCTTGTGAACTGCTATATTCGGGGTGCCTTGATAGTCGAAGCAGAATTTGTGCTCCTGAGGCTAGCGAGCTGAGCAGAGCGAGACTGATTCCCCGTTTGGACTTCTCTGTTGACATCCACTCCTTGGCGCTCCTATGACCTTATTATGCAGTTGCAAGCGGGTTCGAATCCGGTTAGCGACGGAAAATGTTTTTTTTCTCTAAAATTGTCTCTTTTTACCTCTTTTCCTCCTCTCTTGCTATGCTCTGTCGTCTGCTTTTGTCTCCACTTATTGCCCCACCCCCTCAACCCCTTTGCTCCCTCCTCTAGGCTCCTGACTCTTTCTGCAGCCTTTCTACTGCTACTACCTAACTCCTTCTAACTGTGAACCAAAACAAAAAACAAACAAACAAAAAAAGAAAGAAGCAAAACGCACACACACAAAAACAAAAAACAAAACGAAAACCCCCCAACAACAACAACTGCTCAACGTCTAGAAAAATGCCGATTTCTTTGATTTCACTATTTTGACAAGCACCTGGAGTCACCCCATTGCCTCTCGTTCAGTATTCTCGACCTACCATCCTTGAAATTATGTTTAACCCTATCCGTACGCCCTGGGGTCATTTTGTACCCTCGGGGTTGTATTTTTCACATTTTATAATACTTCTAGTACCAAGATCTCTTGAAACTTTCAGCATTTCTCAAAAATAATCATTTTGACAAACTGCGATGCACAGCGTACGGATCGGATTGACGAGTAAATTTCCTCTTTGGAACTTGGTGGCACAGTTCCCCACGTCGTATGGATACGTTAATGTAAGTGATAAGCCTGTTGTTGCTGTCATTTGGAGAAATAATCCTGGAAACATGACTGCTTTTTCTGCTAGAGGGTAAACGACCTCAGCCTCTAATGACATCAGAAAACAATCCAACCCATTTTTCGTTCTTTTGTTGCGGTACTGGTAAGGTGAACAGTGACATAAAAGGGTAAATTTATTCAAATTGTTGGTGTGGTGTAAAGATTAATGTTTCTCCCAACACGCAGAAAGCCAAACCATGACTTCCACTTCGGTTACCGTGTACGCCGTTCCCATAACATGTAGCTAATCGAATCGATCAACCCCCCCCCCCTCCTTTTAAATTTCGGTCTTTCTTCTCAAAAACTCGATTTGAATAAGCTTACACTAATCAATGTCGACTAACTTTGTAATCATTCGGTGTGGGTGGTTGGCAGGTGCTCTGGTGTGGTTTTCTCCTTCTTTCTCATCAATGAACTGTCGTCTTTATCTCTCGTCCTTCTGTTTAATGTTTGTTACTCTCTTGTAACACATCTAATCTTCGGCACTACTATGACCTTATCGTGTTGCAAGTGCCGTAAAACTCTTATTAAAATAAAACTAATCATTCGGCACCGGCGTCTGTGCTGTAGCGGTTATGCGCTCTGCCCTCGCACGCACAAGACATGATAGGAATAATCTTTGTTTTAGTTTTAGTAGGTGCTTTACGGCACTTGCAACACAATAACGTCATCCAAGTGTCGAACAGTAGAGGTGACACAAAAGGGTAACAAACACAAAAACAAAAAAGGAGGAGGAGAGATAAGGACGATAGATGTTTGAAAGGAAAGAAGAAGCAAAAAACACCAGAGCACCCGCCAACCACCCACGATTAATCTCTATCGAGTTTCGCGGTCTTTCAGCTTGGATGTTGTATCAAGGACGCTAGGTTAGCCCGCGGTCACGCAATTTTGATAACGCAATGGCTGATCAGTGCGAGTTTGTCTACGTTTGTTGACGAATGCAAATAATGAATATCGATCTCTATACAAGCTCCCAGTGACCGAGTTAGTATGTGCTCATTATACACACCTATTTAGAAAAATGAAAATGGTGAAATGATTTAAGTTTAACGCCCCTATCAGCACTATCATGTAATTTAATAGGCAGGACCTCCGAGTCCAACGTCCGTCTACAAAAGGTCTGAGTCTTACTTACTTTAATCTATCCGTCCTCTTGTACCTCTCGGGCGTCGAGGGGAGAAAGAGCTTCCTGTCTCTAGCAAGTTTGATGGCCTGACTGGGTGGGATATTGTTGTATGTTCTCTGGATATCCTTCACACCCTGGATCCAGATCTTACTTGGTCTTCCTCTTGCTGTGTACCCTGATACTTTCCTGCAGTAGGCTTTACTGGCAGGCTGGTTAGGTGCCATATGTGTGAGATGTCCAAACCACCTGATTATTTGCCTTCTAATGTAGTGGAGGACAGGCGTTGTTCCCTCCATTTCTCTGATCTTGTTTATGACAATGTCCCGTCTGGTTTTGTCGATTGTTCTCTTTAGAATCTCATCTCGCAGGTAGTTATCTTACGTTCCAGACTTTTTGTCAGGGTCCTTGTCTGCCACTGGCAGGTCAAGGTGGGGATGAAGATAGAGTTAATGAGCTTGGCTTTGGTCTCAATGAGGATGTTAGTGTTAGGATGTTTGAGGAGTGAGGCAAGCTGGTAGCTGACGCTGTTAGCCTTTTGTACTCTCGTCTCAATTTCTTTGTTGAGGCGTCCATCTTCTAAAATGATGCAACCAAGATACATGTACTTGAACTCGCTGACTTGTTTCAACGGATTTCCTTCTCGGATAAGGGCGAAAAATGTCGGAGGTCCCTTGTGTAAGTTGTGCACCTTAAAGATACCTAAGTGGTCCAAAATCGATAACAGTAGGCTTCTACCGCCACCTGGGCAATATTCTAAATTCATTCCTACCGAAACAAAATAATATCTTTCCTTCGCGCTCATATGACATTATGCAGTTGCGAGCACCGGTAAACACTTATCAAACCAAAAACAGAAGGCTGGCCAGGTCAGCGTGAGTGAGCGTGTCTCTGGCTTTCCACAGGCCAAGCGACAGTGCCAGGATCTGACCATCCCCGTGCAGACGTCAGACAAGGTGCTGGTCAACGGGGAGGAGGCGGTGTCCGTCTGTCTCTTGGGGGAGACCTTTGAGGTGACACTGCGTCCACTCATCATTGTGTTTGTGCCTGTGTTGTCTACAATAGTTTATGTGTGGGTTATATCCGTATGTCTACACAAGTTCTATATGGGTGTGTGTGTGTCCGTATGTCTCTTGGGGAACCCTTTGAGGTGACACATCACCCTGACCTGTGTCCACTCATTGTGTTTGTGCCCCTGTGTCTACAATAGGTATATATTATTATGTGTGTGTGTCCGTCTGTCTCTTGGGAGAGACCTTTGAGGTGACCCTGTGCCCACTCATTGTGGTTGTGACCGTGTATGTACATGTACATTAGTTCTGTATGGGTGTGTGTTTCCGTCTGTCTACAATATTTTATGCGTGGGTTATATCCATCTGTCTTCAACAGTTCTATGTGTGTGTGTCTGTCTGTCTCTTGGAGGAGACCTTTGAAGTGACACACCACACTGACTTGTGCTCACTTATTGTGTTCTTGTGCCCGTGTGTCTACAATAGTTTATGTGTGGGTTATATCCGTTTGTCTTCAACAATTCTATATTGTTTGTGTACGTCTGTCTTCAACCGTTATATATGGTTTATATCTGTCTGTCTTCATCAGTTGTATGTTGGTTTGTTATATTTGTTTACTGCCTGTAACAGTTCTATTTGGGTTTATGTCTGTCTGTCTACGACAGTTCATACATATATGGATTGGGTCTGACTGCGACTCTGTATTGTGTCCGCTTCTCTGATGGGGGAGAACTTTGAGATAAATTGTCACACTGAGTGTTGTCTATTACTTGCATCAATCTGACTCAGTTTTGTATTCTTTTGTTCCCGTTTGTCTACTCTAGATCTTATTCTAGTGTCTGTGTATGCATTTACATAATGTATATACACGTGTATTTACTTTTGTATATGTGTAAGTATGTGTGTGCGTATATATCTACGCATCTATGTCAATGCATTATGTACGTATGTATGTACATAATAATTTATGTTCGTATTTACGTATGCATGTAAGTACGTATGTACTAAGTATTTACGTACGTATGTGTGTACAAATGTGTATTAATGTAGATATTAATATATTAGGTGGGTACTCGTTCGATGAACTAACTCAAAATATAGATAACCTGACGAACGCCTGACTTCCCAACAGACGGAGGAGGGCCTGAACTACTGTGTGATGGAGATGGAGCGCATCGACCTCTCCCCTCACGCCGGCTTCCTGCACACAGAGCTGGAGGACTTTGTCCACACCGTCTTCGAGATGTTGGAGAACCTGGTCAACATGTCCGAGATGCAGCTCAAACTGACCAGGGTGGGTGGAGCCAATGAGATGTATATATTGAAATTCATATTATTATACATAATAAGAGCACG